AAAAGACTAGTATGGGAAAAAGGAAAAAGTGTAGCCATCCCCCCTGCCCCACCCCTCCACAGCCCCTGATATGGTTGAGACCATAATCTTACACTCAATGACATTAGAGAATGAATTTTTGATGCAGAAAAATTTAGCTACCTTTTCAGTATCTTTATTTTTTTGTTTGTTCACAGTCCCTGTTCCATCTACTTCCTTAGCAGATGCAGCTAATGCTTCAACAGTTACGTCAACTACTTTTATATCATCATCATCATCTTCATCCTATATACATGTAAGAACAGCAAATTAAACACAATTAAACTTTATAGTAAGTTCTACCACTCACACAATAGGGACCTTAAGCTGCAGGACGGCAACGTGGGCGACAACGTCGGCGAAATTGAGGCGCTTCAACCTTCTATTGTATCGTCATTTCGTGTTTACCTAGTATTTTACTCAATAAGCATCCCCGTTTTAGAGCGAAATGACGTCTTTTGGGAGCGCTTTACTCATAATGAAAATCAGCAAAGATAACCTTATGGCGTAGCCATTCTCTTTAGTACGTAAAAATAGGACATTTCACGTCTTACTTTTAGCACAAGACGGCAATGATGCACAGATATCGTACATTCCAACGAGTATCTATTGAATAGCGCAATTAGTGCTATTGTATGCTTGCCGTCGTTGTTGCCGTCTTGCAGCTTAAGGTCCCTAATATCAGACTGTCATCAACACTCCATTCTCCATACCTTTTTTCTGTAAATACTTATATCTTCTGTTTCTTCATCCTCATCGGCATCTGCTCCTGCTAATTCAGGTTTAAACTGGAACACTTCCCGACCACTGACCTATAACAAAATAAATAACCGTAACATTAAGTTAACATTTAATGATAATGTTAATGAAAATGTTGATATTGATTTTTCATTACTTTTCATATGCATATTGAAAACTAGCTTTTCTAAGATAGAAAATGGAAAAAAAAATCAGTTGTGTGAGGTTGTAAGGAAAATACAAAAATATTCCAATAAGATGGCTAATTTTCCTTAATCAACCAAAATATCGTACAGAATTCAAGCTTTTATATGATTGGCAAACATTAAATGCACTTATTAACACTGATAGTCACATTAGTTTCCCCTTTCTAATAGACGATTCTCCGATACTTGTCATAATAATCTCTAAATATTGATCACCAACCTTGCCAACAATTCTGCCTGACTTGAAATCGTCTTTCTTCTTCTCCTGTTCTTTTGCAAATGCTTCTTTCTTTTCTTTTAACTAATATTGAAATATTCATTGAAACAAAATGCACAGTATAAGTTATATACTGTAGTGTGATATTAAAACCAGTGTACTAAAATACTTTTAACATTCACTAGTATAATTTTAAACTCAAATATAGAGTTTTGCGAGCTGTGATTGGTGGAGCGACCATTGATTATGAGACAATATTCCCTGCTAAAGGGATGATTATGAGGTTTCCCAAAGTTTGCCAGAGAAAAATATTATAAAACATTTTTTTAAATCCTGAATTTCGTCTTTTCTCTGATATTCAAGTCTAAAATGATACTAAAATAATAATAAATTATTCAGTTTAGGCTCAGTGATGATGATGAATATTCACATCTCTGCCTGAAGAATCCTGGCTCAGTAATTAATATTCACTTATAATCACTAATTAATAGCATTGATTGTGAATAGCAAATACCAATTTTATTGAAGACTGGGCTGGCCTATGTGTAAGTCAGGGAATGGGTGACAAAAAGATAGAATTGGATTTTAGCATGAAGTTTGTGGAAAAACCCCTCAAATCAGGGTGAGACTTAACAATCTCGGCTCACATGTGATGCTGTGTCCATGAATCAAAACCGTCAACCCATGTAAAGGTCAATGCACTACCGTCAGTACCGTAAGTACTCAATTAATGCTTTTTTATTCAGTGCTGACCATGCCATTTTATATAAGCCTTGCATTGCTGTTATTTTGAGACTAACCTTTTTCTGCTTCCACATTAAGAATGTTTCTAATGTGACTTTTGTTAAATTGGGTCCAAGGTTCATTCTCTGAAAGACAAATAGATGGTTAATATAGATTGAAAAAAGACTAGTAATAACATGTTTATTGGTCTTATACAATAAGAGAGAATACTGTATGTGGGTCTTTCCAGTACTGCAATTTATATAAACATGAAAACTCTGTATCTCTGAGTTGCACGCTTTGGTTTTTCGCTTCCGCCAGTCAAAAATATGAATGGTACTGACTGATTAGGTTTGATTGACGGCAGTGAAAAACTAGATTTCTAGCCCGCAGACACAGAGTTTACATGTTTATGAAAATTGCAGTAAAAGTACTGGTATTCCTTTTCATCCAAACCAAACCACCACAAAATCAATTATGCTGCAGTTTTAATGAGCAAGTAAGAATTTAATGTGCTTTCTTAACTTGTTGTATATAAAGACTTACCTCTGTTTCAATAAATTCTTCTATAGAAATCTCTTCCTTAACTTCTTTATCTTGTTTCTTTTTAAATACGAAGCCAGGGGGAAGAGCGTGTCTATATATACATGTAGTACCATTGGGACAGGACCAGAACCAGCCATACAAGTTTTTATCTAGAGCCTCAAGAAAATACTTGCACACCTAATGACATATAAAAATAATTATGTATGACAAATATATTAGAGCATGTTCAGAGCGTGAAGGCACACCTAGAGTTTTAAAATATATGTTTTAAATAAATGCATATTACAGCATGTTCAAAGTGTGATATGCCACTCATATAGACTAGTTCTGGGTCCAAAACAAAAAGCAGCTCTATAAAGATTTTTCTTACGTTTTCTAAAAGAGAGGATTTGATGTCCAAAGATCTGGGCCGGGTTGTTCAAAGCCGGATTAACCCTAATCCAGGATTAACTCTATAGGTCTTATTAAGAGTTAACCCAGGATTAGCATTAATCGGGCTTTGAACAACTGGGCCCTGGTTGTTTTAGCTGGAGTTTAAGTCATAAGATCATATTTTTTCTTTATTTCAGCAGTTTTTGTGAGAAGTTGGATATGGAAATACGTCACGGCTTAAAAGTTCTACTGAACTGGAATTCAATGCGTTAGGTTTTGCCAAGCGAAGAAAATGAAAGGAAAACCCTTAAATCAAAGGAGAACCAACAAACCCTGGTCATGTGACGCCCAATCCAGGATTGAAACTGGAGAGCCCATAGATAATTTACTCCTCCTATGTTTGATCCCCTCATACAGTATGTGTATGAATAGGTGCCTGTTAAATGCCACAATTGTTAATCCAAAACAGTTGCCAAGCAAATAAACCTTGATATTTAACCTTTACCATTCAGAAGGAGATACTATACATTACATACAGTACACAATCCATACAAATATCATTGCCATGATATACTGGTAGGATTGACTTACAATTTCAGTCTTTGGCATGCATTTTTCCTTAGCTCCATGTTTTTTCTCAATGACTTCTTCTAATTTTTTCTGATCCCATTTATCTATGGTATCTAATAAATAAATTTATAAAATAACTGTTATGAATGTTGTGTTCTGATTGGCTTGGAGCGAGTGCTTTATGAGAGCACATTGCATGCACGCACACTTTCCGTTTCGTCATTCCTATCTAAAATAACGGTTATTGTAATTTGTATTTCATAAAAGAAATAAAAAACTTGCTTGCTGTGCTGTGTGCCATTATAAAGCACTTGGGGATTGGCAGAACACTTGAGAAGTGTCCAGAATCGCTACGCGTCGTGCTTCTACTAACACTTCTCTCGTGTTCTGCCAATCCCTGCGTGCTTTATGACTGCACACAGCACGCGCACGCGTTTTCTATTTCTTCAACAATTTACTTTAGCGACACAAATAATCCATATAGCATCATCTACTGTACCACCACCAACAGAGAATGCCTTGATCAGCACTTTCCTGATGGTCAGGGAATACAAATTTGAGAAGAAAACAAGTGAAACATCTTGATGGTGGTACAGTAGTTAAAGTTCACCTAACCCCTGATACAATACTTTCAGTATTGATTCTACATAAAGTGAATAGCTGAATAGTAAAATATTTCTTCATTTGAATGTTGCGTATTTAAGTTATGAAGGTTTATACTTCCAATATGTTAATGACTGTGACATCAAGCCAGGTTTCATTAAATATACAAATTTGGTCCACAAAAACAGTATTTAAAAAGCATAATCATTACACTCAAGGTTTCCATAATGTTCATTGTAAATTGGATGTCTCATAATGGCTAATATTTGATATTAAAAATCAAAAGAAATACAGTCAAATGCCTGGGTGAGTAACATTATTGGAATTACTCTATAAACCTTTACACTAGTTTTCACACTAGTTTTTTAGCTAGTTATCTATTCAAACCTTTATAACTTAGAGACACAACATTCTTAATGAAAAAATATTTTACCGTTCAGCTATTCACTTCATGTACATGTAGAATCCATCCATCTATTCTTACCATCTTTAAGATCTTCTTCTGCATCTCGTTTGTCAACATAAATGCTCCTCTTCTCTCCCTTTCGGTCCAAACTCAAATTATGGGAAAATTTACATTTGTCTCCTTTGGAACATGCTCCTTGTTTGAAGAAGGCACACACAACAGATGCTGGGTCAGCTCCTAAAGACATATTCAAACTACATTTAAATTTCTTAGCCCTACACCGAAATTCTCATTTATGTGGTTATTAAGGTGACTGGCTACTTTTGGGAAACAATTTAAACTTTTTTTCCATCTACATTTTTTTAGAGTGAAACTTATTGCTGATTCCAAATATGAAAAAAAAAATGGGTGCCCTGAGCTTGTTTTTGAGATAATCAGCATTTAATGGATGCCTATCATCACCATAAGCCATCTGGATGCTACCAGAAGTGATCAGGAAAAAATTAAAACTCACAAGATAATAGCTCTTTACAGACTTTATAAATGAACACATATGATGGCAAGTGAATCATTCTGCAATACTACATGGATATTWTTGACAAAAAGACAAATAAATGCATTGATTTGTCATATTTCATCATTTGTCCTCAAATCTCAAAGTCAAACAAAAATTCCTACAAAAATCTATTTTTTTGTGGGTTAGAAAAATTAACTCTTCTAAAAAAAATTTGATAACAATAGATTTTTAGAAGTTTTTTCAATTAAGCTTATAAAAAGTATAGAGTCCCATGCAGAATTTGGGGTTTTTGCCCTCTTGAAGTTCAAAACGCGTATGGTTCTTCAATAAAATCAAGAAGATTATTCAGTGGTTTTTGAGCACCCGCACATCATTGGCTCATTAGTTAACATGGAGCAGCATCTGGTCAGCAGTATATAATTTTATTTCATTGCTCATGCTCTCTAGCTATTGACCAGCAACGTGGTTTACTTTGCCATTGCAGGTGGATTTCCACTGCGCCAGAGGTAATGGAAAAGTCGCAATGTATTAGCTGATATGTAAAACGATGCCATATTGCCAGACCACTTCTGCAATATTGCATGCAACAGTTCGAGAGTTGAACACATGGTGCAATTTTGTTGTTACATGCAATATTGTGCACCACATTACAGTGTATCTCAGGCTGTAGTTGAACTACAGCTTATCTTCAAATCAAAATATCTTACCAGCTGATACTTTTTGTGTTATGACTGGTTTAAAAAGTTTGTTTGCTTCTTCCTTTTCCCTCTTTTTGGCTTCAATTTCTTGCTTTTTCTACTGATACAAATATTTATGAAATATCTCATTAATTGACACAATATTTCTTACTTAGTTCAATATGATTATTAAGATTAGAAAACTGTACCTTCTCTTGGTCCTGCTGAAGCTGTTAAAAGAGTAAGAGAGAGTAAAATATTTAACCACAGATTGGACCATACATGTTTCGACTATTAAATAAGTGAGCACTTACAGTGTACACTTTTTATATTAAAGTTATTTAAGCTTATTAAAACTATTATCTAAATTATGTACTTCATTATGAATATATAAAAAAATATACATTTTTGTTATTTGTAGCCTTAAATTCATTGAAAGTAGGTCAAAAACCCAAACCACACGGTAAATTCCGAAACGGAATTCAAATTTATGCCATCTGCTACAAAAACCTCAATGAAACACCACCAAGAAACACAAATCTGATGAACGTAAGTTATCACAGAATCTAGGTAGTCCACGTGATCAAAACAAGACTTTTTTCTGACATTGAATTCTTACCTTTCTAGCCGAAGGATTCCCGCCAAATTTGACCTACACGTTCAACAAAGCATGTATAATTAGATTCCAGCAAGACCGGCAATCTCTCAACTAAATTTGCGGCACAAAATCCTTCCCAAACCTGTTGAGTAACTTGTTTTACGAATTCCTGTTGCTTCTTGCCCTTCTTGTTTTTTAGCCCAAATGTTTTGTCCTTGAGAAAATAAAACAAAACAGGGGAAACATTAAACATCTGGTAAGGAATTTTCTCTGATGATGTCGTAGTCCTATTACCTCGATGACTTTTTCCTTCTTTTTTTCTACATTTTTTTTACTTGGTTCGTTCTTCTTCTGCTTGGGAGGCATGGTGCAATAATGGCGGAAAATATCCTACCCACACACCCTTGCGAGCCTTAGTACCACAGGGAGCCCGTTGTAATAAAATGTAATTTTTAATGGAGATGAAAGGGATCGTGGTGATCCGCGGTATTGCCTTTTTTTGGTGCAGTTTCGCGGTAATTTTTTCCTTAACCTGCGGTATTGCGGTTTCACGAGACTACAAGGTTTTCGCTTTATATAAATTTTAGACTACAGCAATAAGTAAAAAAAGTGTACGGTGGAGTTTTCCCTCGATTCTCTCACATTCTCATGATTTCTTTCACTTGAATTATCTAAAGTACAAGGCCGAGGCAATTGTCCTGTCTGTCTAGACGTCTGCTGTTTTAACCAATGATACGTCAACATATTACGCGTGGTATTGCCACAGGGAGCCCAATTTAGATTAAAGTGAATGGTGAAAATAAAATCGGAAAAATTAAATAATTAATATTTTTTAAATTCGAGATCAAGATAATGTCCTCTGTAATGCGAAAGAGCAAAAAAATCAATGAAAAATGCACTAAAACATTTTGTTTGCGCGCGCCTTTGTTTTCCTATATAATTTCCCTATGGTATCTGATGTCGATCTTATGTATATATATTCTGAATATATTTATACACCTAACCAAAAAATTCTGTAGCTTCAGATATATATATGTCTTTTGTTCTCAAGAGACGAAACAATAGAAAAACAAAAGATATATATATGTAAAGTTGCAGATTTTTTTTGGTTAGGTGTACACTGATTTCAATAAAGTTAGTCAACAAAAACCTAGAAAGCTGAGATCACTGAGCATCGTGGGAAACTTTTCATATCAAAAAAGCATATATATACAAAGCTTTTTTAATAGAAACTGCAGCTCGATGATGCTCAGAAGAGGTGAGACTGTAACCTGTAAAAAATTCGCAAGTCCATGAACAGTCCATGAACGTGTAAAATGAATCTATGAATCTAACCATAATCCTGGTCGACCTCAGCTTTATAGCTTTTCAGGTGACTAACTTTATTGAATTAAGTGTATATATATTCAGAATATATATACATAAGATCAACATCTGATACAATAGGGAAATTATATAGGAAAACAAAGGCGCGCGCGAAAAAAAATGTTCTAGTGCATTTTTYATTGATTTTTTTACTCTTTCGCATTACGGAGGACATTATCTTGATCTYGAATTTAAAAAAWTATTAATTATTTAATTTTTCCGATTTTATTTTYACCATTCACTTTAATCTAAATTGGGCTCCCTGTGACCAAAGCAAAGCATTATGGGGAATGTGAAAATGCTAAGTAACTTTGGGTTCCCTGTGTCTTGTATTACGTGGTCACCCAGCTCTAATGGCGGCCATGTGAGTAAACGTCAAGTGACGAACAGAACTCTAAAAACTAAGCCAAAAAAGTCAGTTTTCAAAGCGATATGGGATCTTCCAAGAAGCACAAAGAAAAGGATAGAGATAGGGATCGTGAAAGGAAGCGTGATAGAGAAAAAAGACACGATAAAGATAAACATAAACAGAGAAGAAGATCTCGGTCTCCACGCGATCGGGATGAACGTTATGAAAGAAGAAAAGAGGACGTAGACAGCGAGACAGAAAGAAAGAAATCAAGGGGTGTTTATGATGATGATGATGATGATGGTTTATTACAGTATGCAATGGAAGAGTCGACAAGAGAGGAAATGATATCAGGTGAAGATATTTTTGATTTTACACGTTCGAAAGACTTCCTAATTTTGTAGATAGTACAGTACTCGCAGTTTGCTGAGTAAAGAGCTAACAGTAGAATTCATTTGTTTATTATTATGAATTTGTTTCAAAATGTTAGTCCTATCTCTTCAAAATCCCAAAAACATATTGATGGTTTTCACAGCGGCCATGTTGGAGGAACTTAACAAAAGAATTGTCAATGAATTCTTGTCATATCCTCCAACATGGCCGCCATGTCTTTTGTTATTTAATTCTCTTGGGAATGGTTGAAAACCATCAATATGTTATCTGGATAATAAATTTACAGTTATTACGAATTAATTATTCAGCTTCTCATTAATCCCATATAGGTAACTGTCCAATTATTTTCTTAATTAACCATAATTTTTATAAATAAGGGGGACAGTTGGTTAGGGAGTTTGGTATACAGTAGGCAGGCTTTGCAGTAAACTACATTGCTAACTAATTAATGAGTATATCATATATGACCTGATGATTCCAGAACCTCCATCAAATCAAAGGGCTGGTGGTGATGTCTCCCTCAGCATTGAAGAAACCAAGTAAGAATACCTTCCCATAAAGTGTATATATGCACATAGGCCTCTTACAATGTATTATCCCAATGTATTGCAGCTCAAATTGGAGGACAAAACAACAGAATTTTACCCTCATAAGAATTGAAATTCGTTGTCTTGTCAGGACTGCAAATTGAATGGCTTTGGGATCGCGATTGCTAGTACTGAAAAAAAATTGAAATTTGATACCTTGAGATATCCAAAACACATAACTCTCCTGTTGTTGTTTTTATGGGGGGGAGGGGGATAATGAAAAAACAAAAGACGAGCCCTTGTGCAATTCAGCCTAGCTTTGAACAAGCCATCCCAGGCTTAAACTACTGACTACTGATTGTTATGTAGGCCTAGAATACTTGGGTTAAACAAAGGTTTTTATTCTCATGAGAATAAACATGGCACGGTTTGATCAAGATCCATAGCTATGTTCATGGATTATAAGAGCGACTACGTATTTTGTTGGGGGGGGGGGGGGAGCTTGGGGATTTGCAGTAAATGTTTTAAAAATGGTTATATAGCACTCCCCCTTTCACTCAGTAAGAAATTCATGACCCTCCTATAAGTCAACAAGGAAACAGCTTTCATCAAGATAAAAAGTTTGACCCTCTACAAAAGCTCTTTTTTTTTCTGATTACCCTCCTCTCCGAAGCCCCAGCCCTTATGAAAAATAACAAATAAAAAACATATGTTCCCTAAACATTGACAGCTCTTTTCTTATTTGCTAACCTTTCACCAAAAGATCCCTCTGTTTCGATAGCCATGAATAAAGCTCTGGTTGATATATTAATATTTTCTTTATCTACCATCAACATTAGTTGCTATTGATACATTGTAAACATTATAAAAAGGTTTCATTTAGTATTATAACATTTTGATTGTTCACTTGCAGTAAAATGAGAATAAAACTTGGATTGAAGCCACTTCAAGTTGATGACAGTTCTGACAAATCAGAAGGTGAGAGTAATACTCGCTAAATATGACCCATTTTTCTTAATACTGTAGTTTATTGATAATTTATTGAACTGGCTCCTCCTTTTTCAGAGAAAAAGACCTCACTTTTAGATGATGTTCATGTCCCAGCTATTAATATCAGAGAAAAAGAAGAACAAGAAAAAGTTAGTAGCTATAATTGATGTTTACTTAGTTACAAAATTTGAACCCAAAGATTGAATTAATTTTTTTTTAGATGAGAAGGAAACTTGAGGAAATAAGAGAAAAAAGAAAACTTTACAAAAAGCTGAAGTAAGTTTATTTAAGTATTGACTGTAATGGCAATTTTGCCTTCAAATATTTTATGTTTTATTTCCTTTGTTTTTGCGACAAAATAATCTATGTGCTACCTTCATTATACAAGTATTTTTTATATTCTAAGGAAAAATGAAAGCTCATAGTTAATTTTGTAACAATAGTTTGACTTTTACATTTCCTTTTAACAGCAAAGTCAAAGTTCTTGGTGATAGCGACAGTGATGATGAAAGTGCTGCAAGTTGGGTAGTAAAAAGTAGACAAAAAGAAAAGGAAAAAGAGATGGCAGCAAAAAGGGTAAGGTCAATGACTACCATGTACATAGTAAATGGGAGTCAGCATTGATTCACAATAACTCCTTTTAGATACTAGGGAATGGTCTAGTTCAATAAGTCTATAAATCCAGTAGCTCCCAACAGAGTAATCTGCAAGCTCAGATATTAGTAATCCAAAGGACCCACTAACCTATGGTATGGACTAGCGAATTCTAATTTTCACTAGCCCAAAGCATAGATTTACTAGTCCCAGACTAGTGGACTATCATTAGTGACGTCAAGTACTGAACAGTATTACTAATGTAGCCTGTATATGTGTATGAGTTCCCATGGTTCCCATTCCTCCTTTCTCAGTCTGCGCTACTTTTGTCCTGTGGCATATTTTTCCATTTAAATGTTAAGCTACTGATTCCTCAATTTGGCTTTGCATGTTTTGGATCAGACGGAATAATTTTGCAATATTAACCACATCTGGGGAAGAAGCTGAATGAATGTTGCTGACATTTTCAGTGACATCCTGTCAGAATTTTCAACAATATTTATTGAAGTATCATGAATTTATACTACATACAGTAGTTATAAAGAGTATCTACATGTATGTGCATACCTTATATTGAAACTCTTTTTAGCATATTATATAAATTCATGCTACAGTACTTTCAATAACTTTGTTGGAAATGATTGCAGGTCAAGTCATTGAAACGTTCATTTTTCTATTTACTGTAAATATTTATAATACACTTTAAAAGTACACTGTAACATGTGAATTTCAATAGCAATACTTTTTGAAAGTGACTAATAGTTCCCTTCACAGTTCCCAGTGCCATCTCGAAAGGAAACAGTGCCTTTTCATTGAAGCGAGGCAAACAGTGAGCTTCCAATGATAGAGACATGTGAATAATTGTCCAAGGCGCTAAAAAAAGGTCTCTTTCATTGCAAGCTAACTGTTCGTCTCCCTTTGATGCAAAGGCATGGCTACCTTTCAAGATGGTGCAGGGAACTGTGAAAGGGACTATTGTTTTAAGCAAGATTGGACTTCTAATCAGGAGTTAAAATAGGGTTTTGTTTCAACCTGTGCCTTTGGAACTCAGTATTTATTTATTTCCTTTTTGTATTCTGACTCCTAAAGGCTCAAATGCTGGCAGAGATGGATGAAGAATTTGGGATTGGTGAATTAATAAATGAGGAATTTGGTCCTAAATCAAAGGTATGCTGGGCAAATAAATAATAATATTGATGGAAGTAATAATTTATCAATGAATACAGTATTGTCTGTTGATCTTGATGTAATGTTGTATGCTCTTTTTATCAGTCATATTCATCTAAAGATCTCAGAGGACTAAAGGTGGAGCATGATCAAACAACCTTCAAGGTAATCAGAAAACAAGCTGAATGAATTAAGTAAAGATTTTAATTGAATGTTTTAATATTCTCACAATCCAAAATTATTAATATTTTACTTCAGGAGGGAGTAACAACAATACTTACTTTAAAAGACCAAGGTATGTCTTGACCCTGAATTATTGAATTTCATAAATTTTTTAATCTACTTTTTTTGTTTAAGGAGCAGGTAGTGATTTCTCAGTTTCCTAAAGCCATGCAGATGCTCATTTTTAGCTCCTGTATATGGGTAGAAAGAAACAAGTTATTGTGAAGGGCCTGAATTCGCCTTTCTGATATTCAAGAAAAGACTGGACAGATTTCTATCTTGTCCCTAAAATCAATCCCAGAATCCAATGCAAATGCAAAATGGCAGCATTTTTTGATTTTGGCCCTTAATTCAGCCCCAAAATTCTGCGTGGCACAAGTTTTTTTCAGTCCTCTGTTCAATTTTGGAAAAGTGAATATGTAAAGTGACACTCGCTCACTCACCAACAAGATGTTAGCAGATTGATATCTAAACAACTTATTATCAACCATCTTACATCATTTACAAACTAATAAATCACAGTCCAAGAATATTGATTGTTGATTGAATTTCTTTAGGTGTTCTGGATGAAGAGGATGAAGTACTATATAATATCAACATAGAAGATAAAGAAAAGGTAAAAAATGTGTAATATAGTTTAAATTGCAACCAGAAATCTATTGGACAATCCAATAATGCAAAGTGACAAAACCACCACTTACCGACACCTTACCATATCGTGCAGATTGATCACAATAGCCAGCAATGTTTATAAATATTACGTCCACCTATTTACTGGATTCCTTTTTCAAAGCTTGGGGGAGACTTTTTATGTGTAGCGCAAGGCTCATATGCAGCATACCATGATAGTTTTGCCACAGAATACCAGATTTTTTAATATTTATAAAATGATTGCAAACATTTGCTAAGGTTTGCCTATCTTATATATCTTATTGTACATATATAACACATATATATACATATCTTATATCATGAATTAATTCTTGATGTCTTGTTACTTCGTAGGCTGAAAAAAACATTGAAAAGAGAAAAAAGAAGTCAGATTATCAACCGTACGATGAATCAGATGAAAATGAAATGGTACGAATATGATTACTGTTTTGAAAGTCAGCTGGTGTATCCATTTTGTGATCCTCAATTTACATCTTGTTTCTTGGTTTCATTCACATTTATTTATAAGTAATTAACTACTGTACATCTGTTTTACTAACATTACATACATATATTAATGTGAAGTGTTCCAATTTTAGTTTAAAATGAAAGGAGTTTTAGAAAAATATGATGAAGAAATCGAAGGAGCAACCAAAAAATCTTTCGTGCTTGGTGAGTCAATCAGTGAATCGTATTTGTATGTGATCGTTATATGTACTGTACAGTATGTACATGTATCAGATGTAGCATTATTAGTTCTGGGCTGTAAACTTTCATTTATTTATGGTTTAGAGAAAATAGTTTATTATGAGTTTAGCTGGAATCTATTTTGGGTATCCTGTGGATCCACATGGAAATGAAAATAACCAATTTATTCACATTATGATGCGAAACAAGATATAAGATATCAACTCTATGAAGAATATCTCCCTAAGATTGAATTAGAATTTAGAAGTTGATTTTTGCTGAGGGAGGAAACCGGAGAACCCGGAGACAAACTCTGAAAGCACAGGAGATAACCAACAAGCAACTTTGCTTACATACAACGTGTCTGTGGATCAAACCTGGCTTGCATCAGTAAGAGGCGACCCAGGGCTTAAAATAAACAGCTAGGCATTGGACAATGTTTGGCCAGAACTAGGACTTGTCCAGTCAAATCTTTGCCTTGCCAGCCATTTTGACCAGTAACAGTGAGCTAGAAATGAGGTATGGACTAAGGTAAAACTGATTTAGTCTGTGATAATGACTGATGACTGATCAGCTGTTATTCAAATTGCCAACCAGAATAATCTAACGGGCAATCCAACTAAGCAAAGTGGCAAAACCTATTGTCAAAATGGTTGGCACATTTTAACATCACATTGGCAATGTTTATCAACATTAAATCTTTATATTGTCTTTACGTTAATAAAATTCTCATAAAACCTCATTGATTCCAGAATTTAAAATATATTTTTTTCAGAGTCTGGAGGTAAATTTGATGCCAGCAAAGAGGATGATCTAGAAACGGTAATAAGTAACTACTTCCTTTCTTTCTTTTGCTAAAAATCTTGTTCTGTCTTGTCCTTGTCTTTGTTCTGTTTTGTCTTGTTTCTGTCTTGTCTTTCTCTATGTCTGTCTTGCCTGTCTGTCTGTCCCTCCTTTTGTGATAACTTCTCTTTTCCTTCCTTTCCTTTCCTCTCCTTTCCCTTCCCTTCAATTCCATTCCTTTCTGTTTCCTTCCCTTCCATTTCTTTTTCTCTCCCTTTTCCCCTTTCATTAGATGTTCCTCCTGTTCCACCTTGCCTTACTGTTCACCCTACAGGCATCATTTTATAATAGTACATATAATCAGTCATTAATTCTTATTTATCATTTTGCATTCTGACATATTCAAGTATTTTTATGACATACAAATTCAGGATTAATAAAATCATTTTTTTCCTCAGATGAAAGCAAAGTTAAGAAAACAAATGGTAAGTAATCTGACATTATTTTATTATACATTAAATTTTGAAGATGAATGTGTAGGATTAATAAGGCAAAGAGTAAATTCCTGCCATTGTAGCTTTGAAAGGGTTTGTCAATTGAGCTACATCAATTATTTTATCCTTAACAGGTTTCCCTCGAAATGGAAAGACCAAAGGTGGCTTCAGAATACTACACTGAAGAAGAAATGGTAAAGTACTGCCTTGAACTAGTGCACATTATACTAGTTATGTAAACTCAACAAAATTCTGATTGAGAGAAAAATATCAAATGCCCTTAGCAGGAATTGCATAATTTATTACTTCTATACTATGCCTATTCTTTGCGTACATATTTACGGTGTTCAACTCACCTATAGAGAAGGAAAAAAATCGCTCTGGGATCCTCACAAGTACCCTACATTTCATATTCCAGCTGCGTTACCAGCGTGGATGGTCCTTGTAGTGTAGTGGTTAACACATCGGACTAGAATACCGAAGACGTGGGTCCGAATCCTGCCAAGGGCATTTGATATTTTTCTCTTATTCACAAAATTCTGATTGGATAAGAGAAGTACAATTCAATCGTTAATTGTACTCTGTAGAGTCCCAATTAAGTTGCTCAATTTTGTTGAGTGTATTATAAACGAAAAAAATCGCATGATCTTCTCGTACAATTCGGAATTGATAGATACTCGTGATGTTTTGAAAGTTTTGAAAACTTAGAAACCTTTGAAAACTTCAATCCCACCTGTCAATTCCGAATTGTACTCGAGATCGTGTGATTTCCTATACATTCACATTCCTGGAACTCTTTAAATAAGTTATCAATCTTATTTATTGAAGGTTAAGTTCAAAAAACCCAAGAAGAAAAGAAAAGTCAGGAAAAGAGAAGTATTGAAGGTAAAATTTGAAGGGCACTTTTTTTATCCTAAGACAAAATGTGTTAGTTGATTAGAATTGTTTTAGCAAGTTGTATTCATACATTTTTTGTTATTGAACAGGCTGATGATTTGGAGACCATCACAACAGGTTCAATGACAGGGGCTGGTGATCATGGTTCACGGTACGTCATGTAGTCACAATAAACATAGTTTCTGTCATGTTTTTCTGATTGTTTTTATTAATGTTTGATTGTGAAGGAAAATGAAGTCCAGATCAAGAGGTGCTGACAGTGAGAACTATGGAGAAGAAAGCATGGAGATAGCACCAATAGAGCCAAGCAATGAAGGTATGCTGTATATGACTAGACAGATGTATTACTGGGAGGACCTTTTGGCGCCAAAATGCTGTGCCATTACCGTCACGGTCAGGGTGATGCTTCCGTGTTCCTTAGTCTTGTTAAATGAGCAGTTATAATACCTTGTGTTTCGATTGGTTGAAAGGATGTCATCATTTCATAAATATAACTTTGTTGTGTGCTATTATTTTTTGCTTTAATATGAGATGTGTCAGTTTACCCTTTAAGGTAGAACATACAGATTCAGTGGCAATTCAATGCGTCCAGTCGTTGTCAATCCTTTATTATCATCTTCGTTATGCTCATAATCATCAACATCATTATCTCCTCTTTGTACTTCCTTATTAGCATCTGTGCCATCACTGATCTTCCTCTTCATGCTCAGTAATAACCATTCTAGTGAGCTAACTTAATTTTCAATTTCTACAGAAAACTTTTACAATCCAGAAATCCAAGATGATCATGACATTGTTTTAGAAGATGACGATGCTCAGCTGGAACTAGAGATTGCACTGCAAAGGTACTAACACACAAATGAAAAATGAAGGTTACTATTTGCCACAGTCCAGTCCTCTAGACTTGGAAGATAGTGACAATAGAATAGAATCGCGCAAATGTTGTGTAAAATTAGAACTACAGTGATAACGTAATCACGTTTTCCCTGCTTGGCTAATTTTCTCTGCCAAGAATAGTCAACGAGGGAGACTCTGCTAGCAGGGAAAATCAAATACAATTAAAAAAAGTTTATGTAAAGAAACGGCGATGAACGTTTGAAACTCAGTACACAGTGTCTTGGAAAGGAAAAAGTTAATCGTTGTGTTTTATATATGTTTAACAGTACAATTAAATTTACTTGATAATATTCTTCATGTGATTTTCTTGTTAGGTCTCGAAGAGCAAAAGTGAAAAAAGATCTGTCGGGAGCAGATAAGGTACGTCTGTGTGATGGAATATTGTTAGTGTTCTCAGTGTTTGGCGTGATTACCCGTGACGTGCCCGCGATGTGACGTGACATGGTTTTCTTAAATCTAAATATTAAATATCAAAAGAAGAATTTCATTAACCGTCTTCGAGAGAACTTACCATACAATACCATTCCATAGGTCTGTCTCCATTTATTGGAAATGGCAGTGTGCTGTTTGTGTTCGAGTTTAGCACTTTTTTTAGCTATCAAGCCCATCACAACCCAGGGGCGGATCCAGGATTTTTTCAAAGGGGGGGTTGTAGCACTGATTGAGGTACTTGTTTGGGGGGAAAATAGCACAGGGTTCCCAAACAGAAGTAGGTCTTATGAAAATGATTATTTGCTGCAGGCGAGCATGGTTGTTTCAGGTCCCACACACGGCGTATAGAAAAAAAGCGAGTGAAATGTGTTCGGCACCCCTGTTTTAATAAAACTCGCGATGCTGTTGGTGTTGTCATGAAAATAATAATAAATCACGATGGCTCTCATGGGGGGGGGGGGGGGGGGGGCAACCCCCAAAACCCACCACTAGATCCGCCACTGCAACCGACAAAATGTCCTTCAAATACAAAATTTGCTCTGTACCCATGCTTAGTTTTTAACATCACGTTGTGTTCTGTGATGTGTAGGTAGCACAAGTCCTGGCTACTGCTTCAAGACAAGAGACATCAGACGATACACAAGGTAAAGTATACTATTCATTATTAAAGGGAAACAATGTAACGAGGCCAACACCTATAGCTATAGTGGGGAAGTTTTGGAGAACCATTCAATGAAAAAAGAATAATGGTCTATTTAAGGCCAATAGCTGATTTACATCTTCCTTACTGTGAATGACATGCCTCCTCCTCCCCTCCCCCCCCTTGACATACCCCAAACTTTAGTTAATATTCAGTTTTGTCATCACAATTCTGTTGTATTCTACAGGAGCATCTATTGTTATTGATTCAACGTCAGAGTTTTGCCGGACACTTGGAGAAATCCCAACATATGGTAAGATTACTAACCAAAGTATGAACATTAATGGCATGTATCTTTACAATTATACGAGGACACCACAGCCTAGTTACTTAGTACAGAGATTCGTTGGGGATGTTGTGGTAGCGAAGGTGCAGGCATGCTTCTGCATGGACATCTCTTACGACAATTTTTGATTCCGACCAGAGATGTTTTGTATTTTGTTTCAGGATTGTCAGGGAATCGTGAAGAAGAGGAAGAGGAAGACGCTGAAGCTGAGGTAAGAAATCAAACCGAAGGATTGTTCTGATCTATGTTAATTCCACTCTTGAAGGTAAATCTTTTATGAAGTCGTTAACTGTCTTGATAACCGAACCCGCTTGTCCACTGTAGAACCCATTATTTATACTTGAGTAACTAAACGTAACAGTATGATGAGATGGGTTTATCCAATCAGGCACTGCGTTGCCTCAGGTTACGGCGACAAATACTGTCTTGATAACCTAACTTGCTTGTCCACTGTAGAACCCATTTATACTTGAGTAACTAAACCTAACAGTATGTTGAGATGGATTCATCCAATTAGTTGCTGTGTTGCATTGGGTCACTGCACCAAGTACTGTAGGAAGAAACAAAATTGAATCCCATTCATTACAATGAATTTTAAAAAATTCTTTGCCAACACTTGTGTTTAATGGCAGATGGACATCGACAAGGAACATGAACCCCAAGGGGGGTGGGAGTGGGTCAAAGCACAAGATGACAAGAAAAACCAGAATGCAGAACAACTAGTAAGTACACTGTACAGTACTAAATGACCTACCAAGAAAGGTTAGGTACCATATTTAATGGCGTCAAAGATAGATAACAAAGACGAACAAAAACTTGTTTCTTTTAATTTTTGTGTCATGATATAATGCTATAATGGGGGATCGCATTAAAAATCTTGCATTTTTGCGCGCATTATAGGAACGAAAAATAAAATGCATTTTAAGGTTTCCGGGGACTCACTTCAATCGCGTTTAAAAGGGCTCCTCGGCTGAATATCGATTGGCACCTACAACATTATACTGGGGATATAAAGTTGATTAGTTACAATAGGGGTTACTGGAACCAGACCGAAAGTTCTTATCGCAATTCCTGTAATAGATAATTTCTGTGCACAAATTCCTTGGCCAATGTGAAGGGATCTGAATGAAAGCTCAAGCCTGTGAAGCTGAGGCATGGAAGCTGAGAGGTGTTAGAAGGGTGATGGTTTCAACTGAGTCATTAAAGGGCCCTATTTTTCATCCGATTTTTATGAAATGATCTTTTACTAACACTATATGTTTGTGCTAAAGGAAGAGGATAGCCATGTTCTTGATGAGGAACCAGTCGTTGGGTCTGGAATTGCAGCTGCTTTACAGCTAGCAACCAAGAAAGGTAACTAGATATTATTACATCATATGACCATATGCAAACAGATCACTGTGTGTGGTAATAATACGGACAATAAATCTTGCTGCAACTTGTTACGCGGCAACATGATTGTGCTGTAAGGTGCAGAGGAAATATTGCTCTTATTACACTTTGAGGAAAGGTTCTCCTTCATGCAACCAAAATATATAAAAAATAAAAATAAAAAGCCCACCTGCCCACAACTCGTCAATATTGCACTTAACATTGCGTGGTTTTCTTCTACGAGTTGAAATGAGAACAGCTAGGACCTTGCAATTTAACGAGTTTCCTCCCATGTTGCACTTGTGTTTAATACCAATAATGAATGGTTATTAAATAACGAACAAGTTGTCGATTTAACGTTGTATTCTTTGTCAGGCCTTCTGAATCCCCAGGGAAAGCGAAAACGTGAAGAAAAGTTCGTAGCAGAGCTGCCATCTGTTGGTGTCATCGATGAAGATAAAATGAGGTCAGGATCAGTTACTTGTCATTCGTTTGGATTTTAATTAGCAATGTGATACTAAAGGGATTCCAATATGTGTTTCTTTTTCAGAGGAGACGACAAAGACAGAAGTCGATCTGGAAGGTAAAATGGTTAATAACCGTTTATTCTTTGTTTGTTTATTCGTTTGTTTGCTTATTTGTTTATTTGTTCGTTTGTATGTTTGTTCGTTTGTTT